AGATCAATGCAAAAGATGAGGATTTTAGTCTTTCTGATGAGGTTGAGGGAGCACTTGATCAAGCATCCACCCGTCTTCTGCTTCTGTATGCAAGGCTTAGACTTTTTAAACTTCTAAATAGGTTGCAAAGTGTGTTGTCTTCTCTTAGTTACAATGGTAGAATAAGTTGTGGACTAGAGTTAGTGTGTTCCAGGGTGGGGGTTTTTTGGTTGGCTTTTTTTTTTTCCTTTTTACACCAGGATTTCTTGTTTTCTTAGTTTGGCAGCAGCATGTAGAATTGGCCTTTTGTTGTGGTGAAGGAGTCAGTACAATACCACCATCTATTACCTCCTCCTGCTTCCCCTCTTGGTCCTGGGGCCACCAAGTGAAGTTTTGCATGGAATCTGTTGAAGGTGTTTGTGTTCTGTTTCACCAAGTAATGTGCAGCAGGAAAAATAATAAAGTCCATCTTTTTTTTTTTTTTTGTTAGTCTTCTCTTTTGCTTTGTCATGTTGAAGGTAGTCTTGCACCTGTGGTGTGTCTAAAATGTGCATAAAGGACAGCAGAGTGCTTTGAGTTGACTCTAGTCGCTGTGCTGGCACAGCTTGCCACAAGTGACTGGAGTTACCCTGCATCTGCATGTTCTTATGTGACAGTGCTGGGAGGCTCATGGAAGAGGTGGAGGTGACCACTCTGTAGGTGCTGTGTCAGACAGTCAGAAGATCTGCTGTTACAGTGTGACCCAAATGTGGTCACTTACATGTTGATATCATTGTGCCTTGTCACAACCTAAAATGTGCTAAATGAGGTGATGAAAGGAGTTAGTGCTGTAACTCACTACAATGCATGTTACAGTCATTCTCTTACAATATTGTGCCATATATATTGTATTAAACAAATAGACTTTCATTTAACTGAAAAAGTAAATAAAGCTTATGCATAGTCTGTCGTACATGGCCTGTGTCCTATCTCACTGTCCTAAACAACTCCTACTTCTGTCTGGTACAACACTCATGTGGTTGTACTTACGTGGTTATAAAAGTGTGTGCACTGTTGTTTTATAGCAGCCTTGGCCAGGGCTGCTGCGTATGTTAATATTCTGTGTGTGGAAGAACAATGTCATGTCTTAGGCAAGGATATTTATAAGGTTAAGAATGATGTTGATCATGTCTGTTTTTCATCAAACAATGGTTGGCAAACTGAATGCTATGCTAACTAACAGTAGTAATTCTGGGATGAACTAAAATGGATGGCATGTGGGCCTGGGCAGAGAGAGCATGTTGTTTCTGGAGACTGTTCACAGTCAATGCACTGTTCATATTTCCTTCTATGTGAGTTGGGAACATACAGATTTGAGTTCAGCCTGCAACTGTGCTATATCGTGTGTTTTGAATCTTTTTTTTTTAACAACTCATATGAAGCTCTGGGATGCATATTTTATATAATCACTCTGTATTTTGGCATTCACAGAAATAACACTGAAAGTGCTTCTTACTCAAATCCAAAAACTGTGCTCAGGCCAAACCTTGAACAAATTTTTATTTCCTTTGGCCACAACAAGCCATGCACTGAACCAATATTACTTGAGCAAAAGTACAAAAGTGGAACTGTTGCTTTCCCTGTGTCAGTGAATGTGGTGTGTGTCTGCACAGGAGACTTTTTGTGTCATGTTTGGTCTGTGGTACAGGTCTAGTGGACTGTTCTCCTGGGGTTTCATCTTTTATAAAAGGTAGGTCTTCTAAACAGAGGGGTAAATGAAGTTGTTGGTATCTTCCTGCCATAACTGAACTTTCAAAGCTGAAACCAGGACAGGTTAAAAAAAGGATCAATATTTTTCTTACAGATGACTTAAAAAAAAATTCCTGCTCATTTAAATTCAGTTCAGTTCCACAGCTGGTTGGTGGTGCACATAATGTACTAAGCAGAAGACAAGCTGTTCTTTAAGAGAAGTTAAACAAATTGAGTTAATCCCCTACCCTAGGGAAACACCTCCAAAATCCTGCTCTCCTCAGGCTACACAGCAGAGGGGCTGAAAAGGGAACTCTGGTGAATGTGTTGCAATATCTGGTGGAATCTTCATAAAGCTCCCTGTTACTCTAAGGATTTGAGTGGTAGGAGACCATGCAGTGTGACCTCTTTCACATTGACTGGAAATAGGAGTTGTAGCATTTTAAACACACAAAGCTGAATGGTTTTTTGCCTCTCCAAAAGGCAGGCTTAATAAAACAGACCAATGTGAAAACACAGTGGTTGGAGCCCTGGTCTAGCTGCTTCTATATTTCCATGTGTTCCCTTCAAAGGTTCTTAAAACCAGGTCACTTTTTTATACCTGCCAGGATGGGATTTTAGGAACTGAAGTGTGTATATCCAGTGATCTCTTCTTTAGTTTGATCCTTTTTTCTTTCATTCTAAATTTCCTTAGAGCTGTCATGCAGGGCAACTGAGCCTGCAGCTGAAGCCTGAGTGTATTTAGCACTTAGAATATGACCAGAATGTCAATACCTGGAAATATTTGAAAAACAGGATTGAAGAAGAGCAGTGTTGGGCTGGCATGGGTCTTAAAAGCTTGATACATTTATTCACTCTGTCTTGGATGCTTTTTGTAGTGTTTTTTTTCTTTTGCTTGTTTATTTTGTTTAAGTAATAATTTGGGCAGGCAAATTCTCCTGAGGTTTTTCAGGTCACCAGATAGCCAGACTGGAGAAAAAAAACTTAAATCATTGTACTTCATTGTATTTGGATGACTTCTGATTTCCTTGTTTCTCCCTTCTCTCTTAGAGTTATTTTCTTTTACAGGCAGTGCCCTTTTGTATGATCTCTGGGTGGATTTTACTGGTTTAGATTACAGGAAGGAATGTAGGTTATAAATAGATGGTATATATTCTGCTAACACCAGGAATACTGAAATAGCTCATCTTAAAAGGCACAGGAAACCTAGCCTGTTGGCAAAGCACCAGGAGATTGCACGGTTGACAATTAGCATGGAGACTGAAAGGGAGATTAATGGTAGGCTATGCTCTAAAAAAGAGCACGTTTTGCCCCAGGAGAAATTCAGCAGGGGCAAATTCTGGAAGAGCTGTGTGCTGGTGGCTTAAAGCAATTTTACCTTTCTCTTGACAGCCCTGTCTCCCCACAAGGTCCTGGCATTCCCATGTGGTGTGTTTGTCTCTGTGATACTGAACATTCACATAGACTGGGCTAGCTGCCTTCTCTGCCTTTACTAAATATATTCAGGAGGAGCTTGTATAGGTCTGTCTGAAGGAAAACCTTCTCATGCAGTCAGCCCTTTCAGTACAACCTGTTAACTGCAAAGGCCGTGATTATTTTTGCAGAAGATGGTCTTTAGCTGGGTGACTTCTAGTGCTGAATAGGCTGGCATTCATAAGACTCAGCTACCCGGAGCATCCTGGTTTGTTTTGGTTTCCCCCCCACCTTAGAAGCAGTTTTGTGTTTCTCCTTCTGCAAGAGAAGAGTTATCCCTACCTGCCACTCTGGGGTGCTCAGGCTATAGCCATAAGCTACAGCCGTTCTTTGGTAAGGTGATGAGGATGTCGCTGCCCATCCAAAGATACTTACTTAAATAATAGTTTGTAGCTTGTACATTGCTCACGGAGTTTTGCAGACCTTTGTATGGACAACCTGAGCTTCTGTGGTTTTCCTCAAGATCAAACAGCAGATCAGAAACAGAGTTCAGCCTCTTTAATATCTGAATCACTGTGGTGGTATACAGCAGACAAATGGCTTTCAAAAGCACTGCTCTGCCAGCACGCCATCCACCTTTAAAACTGAAATACAGTTGAGTTTCATATAACACATTTTTTGTTACCTAAAATACTCTTAAAACTGTGATGTGAAATGGGTTAAAACAGAAAACAGCTATAGGCAAAAATTCAGGCAATCCTGCAAGCAATCGTCCTTTCCCCAAATGGAGAAGGAGAAAAAATAGAGAATGTAAGGTCTGGTTTAGGTGCATTTTTGGTTTGCTTGGAGAGTAGGTGTTCTTCCACACAGGGTTTTCTTCCTTGGTATCAAATAATAATGTTAGATGCTAAGTGAGGCAGGTTTGATGGGACAATACCAAAGACTTGGCTCAGTTGCCACTCAGTCTCTCCCCTACTAACAATTTCAGGACTTGGCCAATAGTTGTTGCACACAGACAGTATTTGTCAGGATTTTTATCTATTTAAATCTAGACAATGACATATGATTGTTTATTATTATTATTTTATAATTTTTCTGTCAACCCTTTTCTTCAAACAGGAGTAAAGCAGAAAGAGTAACAAGAGTTCAAAGGCATCAATGGAACAAGTACATTCTCCTTCCGTTCTAGTTATAAACTGTGTCAGCCGTAGGTTTGCAGCACGCACAGTAAGAAGCATCCCTGGCTCAGAGAAGTGACAGGGAGAAGTGATGGACCCTCCTCTACTCTGAGGGCAAGGAGAAGCCAGGCTCTTTGCCCCTCCCAGGGCAGAGCTGTCAGTGAAGTGGCCACAGCACCGAGAGGTGAAGCGACTTGCAAAATCACTCACATGTGTCTCAGGGCAAAGCTGTCAGTGAAGTGGCCACAGCACCGAGAGGCGAAGCGACTTGCAAAATCACTCACATGTGTCTCAGGGCAAGGAGCAGCTTCCTGGAGGCTAGGTCTGTCACCTTGGCCTCTCTGTAGAAGTAGCCGAGTGTTTCCATGCCACTCCAATTCCCACTTAATGAAATCATTGACAGCTGCCTTTTCTGTGCCCTTATGCAGTGCCTTTGGCCTCTCCTCCTCTTGTGCACTCAGGAGATTGGGGTTTAGAGGGCAGCTCCACCTGGCAGTGTCACGTGCCCTCTTCTAGTGCAGCACCTTCAGTGACTGTCTACCTTCCCAGGTATTGAGTCACTGGTCTAATTCTCTCCCCCTCAATCTGGTGAATCTGTACATGATGGCAGTGAGGTGTCTCCTGCGTTTGTCAGTTGGGTGGTGCTGCAGGCTGAGAGCAGGGGAGGTGAGCATTGCCACCGCCTGCACTCAGAGCTTTCATCCCAGCTGACCACCCTTAGGCATGCAGCTGCATGATTAGCAGTTGCTGATCAACTCCTATTTTTAAAGGTTAAAGAAGAATGGTAAAGAGGAAAAAAATGGTGCACTGCTTTAATGGTAAGTGATTTCCTGTGTACTTAGAATAAGGACTTCATCTATGCTGCCAAACAAGTAGAGTTAAATTGGTGAGATGTTATGTGATGTGCTGTCATTTAGTGAAGCGTATGGCTGTTATGTAAACGTTTTAATGACTTCATCTGTCTGCTTAGGAACACCACGCGTCTGGCAAAATTTTGAGAAGGCTCAAGGCGTTAAAGAAAGCTCATCTAAATAAAGGAGGGTTAACGTGACATTGCAGTTACTTAATCCTGTATTGTCCTGCCATGTGACTGCAGGGATACTGAGGCGCAGCATTTCTTTTGCTTGGTGCACAGACTACGCTTTTCCTGTCATCTTCCAGAATCAGTTGCTTTGTTAAACCTGCCATGGGAAGGAAACAGAAGGGCATCAAACTTTTTACAGCAAGACTTCAAGACACAGTGACATTCCAAGGCACAGTGACAAGCTCACAGGCTGAAGAATGAATCAAAGGCAAACCCTACATTCAGCTCTTGGACTGGTACCAGAATCAAGGAGAACTACAATGTTAAGGTCAGCTATTCAAAATGAACTGGAAACATCTGGATTTATTCAGAGTAGTTAATCAACTATTTGTTTGACCTTTATCTATCAAGTCAGTTTTCAAAGCAGCAAGCTAAAGCCTGAAAATTTGTGTCAAATATTTTGCATGTGTCAAATGTACTGCATAGACAGTGAGCAACTTGCCGCTTTCTTGCACAAAGTTTACAGTTTTAATTGCAAAGCCTCTTTTACCTTGTAGATGAAGATCCTGACATACTAAATCAGTTAGTGAGAGATGGACATAAACAGCTTCCAGTTTTATCTCTGATTTTGAACAGAACTGCAATATGTAGATATGCTAGATTTGTTTTTGAAGTAATTTCCAAACTAATCCTTGGACTTTCAGTAAGCTGCTTTTTTGGCGAAGTTTGTCACAGTGTCCCTTATGTGCAGGGTTGCATATTCATACAGAATTATTTCATTTAAACTCCTTATCAGGACATCTTGTTAAATGGGGAAGTGATTACCCTATAGACTATGACAACAGGATATGTAAATGGAGGAAGTCTTGGAAAACACTGCTATTCCAGGTGGCATCACAAGGACAGTGAAGACGATGGGCACCCAGAGTGGTATGGAGGAGATGAAGAAGGCAGGCAGCACAGGCTGACCCCATTTGAGAAACTAATGCAGGATATGTCCCAGAATGAAAAAGTGGTGAAAGAATTAACCTTGGGAAAGAGAATTGGCTTCTATCGAGTCAGAGGAGAAATAGGAAGTGGTAATTTCTCGCAAGTGAAGCTTGGAATTCATTCCCTAACCAAAGGTAGGCACCACTGTGCAGGTCACCTGCATGCTGAGCACCCTAGTTCTGCATGTATAGAAATGGATCTCTTTGGGAAGAAAGATGCTGTCTGAACCTTAAATACACATATGGTTTTTATGTGTCTCTGTTGTTGTTGTTGAGTGAATCTATAAGGCAGAGTCACAGATATGTGCTTAGGTTTGAATTATGCTTTAAAGACATCAGAAACTTTGTCTCTGGATAGTAGCTGTTACAAGAAAAATTCATCTCCCCACTTCATGGAGTTAACACATCTCATCCCATGGCTCAAACACCCCACACTTTGAAGCATGGTGTTGTGCCTCCCCTCCTCTGGCTTGTCCTGCCCATCTGCCCTCTTCCGTGTCCCAGCTCATGGGCTGCAGGGCCACAGGTGCTAAAGCCCCAGGGCAGTGTGGCTAGGCATGCTCCTGCCCACAGCCAGAGTTAGCAAGGCTTCCGTTGTTCCATCGCAAATTTTACTAGTATGAATGAAGCTTTTATTTGGTGATAGTAATTTTGGTAAGAAATTTTATGCCTGCTTTACTGACTCATTTGCAGGTGGTTCATTACTGTAAAAATCTGGGAAAGGGCTACAGGTGTGGGCTGAGCAGGTGCAGGGAGACGAGCTCTGGTACAGCCAAACCAGAATTGAATTGTCAATTCTTGAATTGTGAATTATTTTTCCTTTTTTATGTAGAGAAAAGCACCCTATATGCTGCTTCTAGGAAGAACTAGGAGGGCTAGGTAACTGCAGCAAACACTTCAGTTATAGGTATAAGATCTTGTCTTCCTCTGGCCTGTTTCTTCTTCTGCCTCTGACTGTCTGACAGTAATAGAAACTGTACTTGTTTTCCCTTCAGGATGACTAGTTTCCCCCAATTCTTTGTACACTGCTATCTTCTGGGTTTTTTCCTTATAGTCTTTCCTTTCCAATTTGATTGACTCTCCTTCCCTCCGTCATCATACAGGTGAGAGAATGAGATACACCCCAAAGCCTTCATACTGTATTATCTGTTGTTACTTTTCCCTGGCCCAGGCTGCAGAGGTGTGAAAGCTCGCATTTACCCCTTGTATGAAGCAGTTGTTGCCCTGGGAATCAAAGTGGGGAACTGATAGTATTTTTTTTTTTTTTCCAGATTAGCCTGCCTGTGCCTAAGAGTTACTTTAACTGGGTGTGGATTTTTTGGTTTTGCTTGTTTGGGAAAACAAACAAACTGTTCCACAGCAAGTTATTTCCTCTTCTGTGATTTTTTTTCTTCCAGAGAAAACTGTCTTGTTCTTACCATTGGAGGAAATGCTGCTCCTGTACTGGGAACAGGAGGAATGATAATGAAAGGAAGTTAAAATTTGATCAGAATGAACCTTTTACCTTTTGAAATTACTTAGGAGATAGGCTGCTTTAGCATTTGAATAGAACTGATTGATTGAAAAATTTTTAACTTTGTTGAATACAGGAAGCCTGGACAAAGTAAATAAAAGCACCCCCCTCCCCTCTTCTTCTTCCTTGAAAATATTCTTTTTCACCAGAAATCTCATAAATTATTTTTCTTTGATTTGTTAGTAGCATTTTGGGATAAAAAGTTCACTGGGCAAGGAATTCATTTCTCCATGCTAAGTTTGCAACTGTCATGAGGAAGGAGGGATGAAGGCTAAACATCTTCTGGCTCATCTTTGCCTGTGAGCTTATCCATCCTCATAAAATACAATATGTGGATAGGAGAATAGGAACATGCACATGTGTGCGCACATGTGCATACATGCATGCATACACACACACCACCACCACCAGCCACAGCGAGGATTCTGTTTTTCTCAGTAGATGCACATTGTTGTATTGATAATGGAGCGATGTTCCTGCACAGCACTAATGAGTACAAGGTTTTTTGTATGATTATATAATTACAAAGGCTTCATTATTAATGCTGTTTGGGTCCCTGTGGTAGGGAGAGGTGTATGTGTCAGGGCACTATTCAGCACTTCAGTTATTGTCATAGTGTTAAGTTCTAAGTATGGTCTTTCTCCTTACACGTCACCGTGTACTAGAAAAAGAAACAATTTTGTTCTTTACGAAGATGAGCTTTTATAACAATTACATGTGTGTGCTATTCTGTAGCCCTTGTGATCTGTCACAGCAGGACATGTGCAAAATGTTTTCTAGAGTAAGAGAGGAAAGAACTGCAGGATCATACTGGATGAAGAACCTTGTTTCTCCCGCAAGGCCTGTCTTGGTTGCTTAGAGGATGCAGGAAAATCTGTGGTGCGATCATGTGTATTGGGTTATTCAGGAGCATTGACCACTTTATTAACCTGAATTTTGGCAGAGATCTTCTCCAGAGACCTGCGGAGTTGCTTGCTAAGGACTGTTAGGTTCCTAAGCTCTGTGTAGCCTTTATTGTACATACCTTCCAACTGACAAACGTCGTGTGAGAGCACAGCTGAATTTACGCAATTAAGAGCATCCAAACTTTACAGCTAGTGAAAAGCCAGTCTAATGTGAAACATCAATTGAAAGGCAGGAACATCCACATGTCTAGTTTGCTTTGGTTTTAAGTTTTAACTTCGTTCTGTTTGTACTTTATTTCCTTTTGCCATCATATAGCGTACACCACTTCTTCCTGAAATTATTTCTCAACCTTTTCCTAACTTCTCTTACTAAGATTTCAGCTAGGTCTTTTCAAATGTCAGCATACACTGCATGTAATCAATCCGAATCTCTTGCTACTCAGTTTTAGTATTTTGGTAAATAAGCTGCCTACTAAAAATGCCCTTCTGTTCCGCACTGCTGCCATGCAGGGGTAATACAGGATATGTAAACCAAGCATTTTTTAGAAGCAGAGGGAACAAGTTTAAAAGAGAAAAGGAGAGTGTCAGGGGTTTTTTTACAATTTAGGTGGGCTGGTTTTCTTTGCAAATGATGCATATGCAGCTGCAATAATGTAGATTTAAAGGCGATCAGTCCTGATTTATGGTGGTGTGTGAACAGGATCAGGCCCTTCAGTTCTAAACCTCTCCCCCCATCCCTGTTTCCTTTTAAAACTTTGCAGGAAAACTGACCAGGAGAAATAGTAAATTGCAGCCAAATTCCTCCCAATTCACCATGCCACCAACAGCACCACGCAGGCGTAGGTACTCGCTTTCCTAAGGGACTCGCTAGAAAGCATGGTCAGAGAGAAGCAGCGTGGGGAAGACTGCCCTATACTCAGCACAGGCTCCTTCTGAAAATAGGCACATCAAGGGACTATTCAGCACCTTTCACAAGAATCACATTTGCTTGGAATATCTGCTGGACTTTAGTAGGGATCAATTTATGCTCGTGTATTACTAAGTAAGGTAAATATACCAAACATGGAGTTTTCTTGATCTGTACAGATATATACATGTGTATCCTTAACACTTCCTTTAGGTATGCTAAAATACTAAACTTGAGTTAAATAACTTTACAATATTAAGTAAAAATATTTTGAATGCTTTTATACCAGAACACATGTACAAATGTAATAGCCTTCTCACTCTTCTCTTAAAGCAACAAGTAAACAGTACTGACTTTTTTTTTCTTACTTACTCCCATGTACTAGAAACCAAAATGAAGTTTTTTTCTGAAAGATTCTATAAAAGTGATTAATCATTAAGAAAACTGTGAATGTTTGACTATGATATTCTTGGGGAAAAAAACTTCTTCCCAGGAATAAACACTTATTTTTATTGCCATGATCCAGTTTAATTTTGCTGTCCTGACAAGCCACTATAAACCCATCTTAACCAGACTAATCCTTCAAATACCAGCTGTATTCAACAGAGTGAAGACAAAAGCCACAACCTACAAATTAATACAGAAACCTAAGGGCAATTGTGGTTCACCTATTCATACTGTTCTGAGCTGGCCTGGTGATGTGGTGCAGCTGCAAATGCATATCTGTGTTTTGTGGTCCTTGGCTTCACTGTACATATGCTACAGAAACATGTAGAACTTAACAGCAGCCTTGCATTACTAGGACAGGGTAAGACAGCTAGATTTGCTGTCTTACAAGATCCCTGCAACTTATTCTACTTCATTGTTTTTCTTCCCTTCCTCAGAATAAAATCTGTGTGTGATGTGTGATTGCCCACTGTGGCATACAGACATAAAAATATACTTTTCCTGTATTCTGTATAGTACCAAGAACTACTCACACATGAACGCGTTGGAAAAACTGGCACAGCTATCCTGAGAAAGACAAAGCTCTACAACACTGATTTTGGTAACTGAGAATTTGTGGGGGTATGGGATAAGAAGTTAGGGAAGAGTTCTGTACGTCGCACCAACTTAAAAACACCTATCCATTATAAACTTGCAGGGTTATAGCCAGAGTCCCCAAATTACCCCCAAGCTTGTCTGTCTGCTCTGAAACAAAGCACCTAAATTTGACACCTCTGTTAGTCTGCAAGTACCAGGCTGAGACCTAGCGCACCGGAAGAGCACTGCACTAACAACGAAAGAGAAAGCGCAGATTTTCTTCACCAGCTTTAGACACCGAAAGCAGATGCTGTAACTGTGGCCGTCAGACACGTATTAGCCTGGCAGCAGTGGAGCTTACAAGATTAAGACAGCAGATTATTTGATCAGCCCTTGCAATACCATACCAGCCCTTAGCTACCCCAGCAGTGAGTAGGATGCCATAGACAGAAAGGGGCAGCAACGTGTGTGAAAGACTGCAGCGCTTAGCAAGCCTCTGTAACTTCGTTCATACTGATCAGAGGTGAAATTTTATTGCACTTCTATAACCAGGCAGTGTTGTAAGTAAATAGTATTACCATTTGTACCTATTGCATTAACAACATGGAAAAGCGTTTGTCTTTTCAGAGAAAGTTGCAATTAAGATTTTGGACAAGACAAAGCTAGACCGGAAGACTCAACGTTTGCTATCTCGTGAGATATCCAGCATGGAAAAACTGCACCACCCAAATATCATCAGACTATATGAAGTGGTGGAGACACTCTCCAAACTCCACCTGGTGATGGAGTATGCAGAAGGTGGGGAGCTCTTCACTAAAATCAGTACAGAAGGGAAGCTGCTAGAAACAGAGTGTAAAATAATCTTCTCCCAGATTGTGTCTGCTGTGAAGCACATGGTAAGTTGCTCTTCTTCCATAGGCGTGTTGCCCTTCACTATTCCAGCAGATTTTGTGGATGCATCTTTTGGTTTCCAACTAGTAGGTTTACTGTGACCAAGATTTCAAGCCCACATTTCTGAGGAGCGAAACAGCTGGAGAAGAATTGTCTTAAAGGTATCCAAGAGAGCTTTCACATCCACCTCAAGTTACTGCCTCTCTGTTGACAGTTTTTGGGAGGAGACTGAACTGGGAACAGCTGGTGGTTGGAACTATCCCTTTAGCAACAATGTTTTTCTGTCTGCTTTAAGTTGCTGTAGGTACCAGCTAACAAAGCTCCCTTTCTTCCCTCCACCAATTTCAAAACAGAAGATCAGTCACTCTTCTGCTAGAATAAAGTGTTCTAGAGAAGAGGCTTGCTTATTAGTGAATGTGGGAGACTGGCACTTAAGACAGTTAATTCCTGGTCCTCACTTTGGTGCAGACCTGCGCAGTTAACACTTAGCAAGTCACTTCCCCCCACCTAGTCTTCAGTATCTGGATGTAGGATGATGGTATTTGTGCAAAGCCCAAAGCATCCTGTAAAGGCAGAGAAGGAGCAATTAACTGCATCAGTACCATCTCCTCTGCACCTTGCATAGTAACTACAGTTGCTTAAAATAACAGTATAAAAATACGGGAAGACTGTTCTGCAAGTTTGAGTTTATTAAAGTTGGCTCAGGGTGCCCTCCGGTGGCTTATAGTCTCCTGCCATGTAATAGCCTCAGGCAAAGTCAAAAGCAAGGGTGTTCCCAGGTCAGACATCTAGAAACTGCATTAGAAACTGCTCGTGGCATATATAAACAGTATGCATTTTTATATGTATTTTACCAAAATGATCATATGTCCTGGCTTCAGCACCTTTTTCATAAGACAGGTAATCTGCAGCTACTGGAACTTACTTTACCTTTCAAGATCGCATCTATTTCTTAGCGTTAAACCCAGACTACCAAGCTAGCCAATTTCTTCACTTGTACATACAGACTTCTGCAAAACATTTTACTTCTGCTAAGCCATCAAATCCAGGCTACCTGAATTGCATCTCTCCGCTGCCAGTACACATGAGGTGTGCTGGTTATTGATGACACTTTAAAAATCTTAGGATGCCGAAAGGTTTCCTTATTGCCTGCAGGTACTGCACCTTGTTCCTTCAAAGGGTAGGGCAGGGAGTGCACAAACACAGGCATTCCTCCTAGTTATTTCAAAGATGAAGCTAAACTCTTGCCTAATCAAGACAGGTGTATCGCCACTAAGCAGAGCAAATTCATTTTGCATCCTTGGCTGCTCCAGCCATGTCCAAGGGAAAAAACTACAAGTTATAGCATATGTACTTGTTTTAGATTTCTTAAATGAGAGGACACCACTGAACTTGGTGTCCTGCAACTATATGAAATAACACAAGGAACAAGCCTGTGGTCCTTTTCTCCTGCCACCACCAGTTCCTCATAGGACATTAGATCATACAAAAGAATTATAGCAACCTACTTTCTTTATCTGTGATTACGTTCACTTGATGAACTAAATGAACTTGATGAACTAAATGCTTTCACCTCTTAAGTCCACAAGCTTACAATATATAAAAAATTGAATGTTAAGAAGCAATTACTTTTGTTACATAATTACAGAAATGTAGTAACTGCAAAAGCTTTCAGGTGTTCTGAACCCTGAAAAAATACAGATTTTGCACATGAAGATATCTAGTCTTGTAGGATTAGCCATGATGCCATCACAAATCTGCTTCATGAAAATAGTTGATAGTCGTTAACAAGTTGAGACTGTTATTCTTAAAAATGAACACAGCATCATTCTTCCCATCTTCTCCACCTACTCTATTGCTTTTGAATCAGTAGAGAATTAGGTTAAATTTTAACTTTTCACTTTCATTGCAATACTTATTTCTGCTTTTGTCCAAGGTAACTCTCTTTCTCCTGTGTGGTAATTAGTCGATGGTAAGAGCTCATCAGCGGCGAACTTTCCTGGGAACAAGCTAATACCAAATTTTTCTCTTATTGTACAGCATGAGAATAATATCATTCACCGGGACTTGAAAGCAGAAAACGTCTTCTACACTAGTAACACCTGTGTTAAAGTGGGAGACTTTGGATTCAGCACAGTAAGTAAAAGAGATGAAACTTTAAATACTTTCTGTGGCTCTCCTCCTTATGCTGCCCCTGAACTCTTCCGAGATGAAAACTATGTTGGCATTTATGTAGACATTTGGGCACTGGGAATCCTGTTATACTTCATGACGACGGGTATCATGCCGTTCCAGGCAGATACAGTGGCCAAACTGAAAAAGAGCATTCTTGAAGGGACATACAGTTTGCCTCCCTGCCTCTCAGAAACTTGCCAGAAACTGATAAGAGGAGTCCTTCAGCCAGTACCAACCGAACGATACTCTGTCAATCTTATTATGAACAGTGAATGGATGCAGGGAATACAGTACCCCAAACCTTTACAGCCGTTTAAACTGGATCCGAAGTACTTATCAGACATCAGTACACTCAAAGAGGAAGAAATAGAAGTGAAAAATATTCTGGAAAATCTGGGAATCACAGAAGAGCACATTCAAAATAACCAGGGAAGAGATGCGCGCAGCTCAGTAACAGGGGTCTACAGAATCGTTTTGCACAAAGTACAGAAGAAAAGGGCACTTGAATGTGTTCCTATCATGTCCGATCCAGACCCCGAAGAGCCAGACTGGAGGAGAGGAACTGGTTCTTACAGCGGGATGAAGCACACATCCAAGCTGTGTTCTATTTTATAAATTGCACTGCAGGCTTTATACTCAGCACATTTAAGAAAGGATTTCACTCACTTTTCACAACTTCTGGTGTGATATCTTTTGTTAATTTTTGAATAAACCAAAAATGCCTGATCTCCTTTGCATTTCTTAAGTCACAGTGAAGCACTCAAATACCAGAGCTCTCATGCCCTTTTTTGTCTCTTCCTCGAGTCATGGCATAGCCAGTGCAAGAACCCCAGCAAGCAAAAGAGGTTAGGAAGCACCAGCAGGGGTGATCTTTTAGTAAAGACCAACTAGTATTGCATTTAATGCACTGGGGAGATTCTCAGTACAGGCATGTAAACAGCTAACTTTTTGAAAAGTTTTACCTCAGCTTGTGACAGCTTCACCACTGCACACCAGGACAGTTTTTGCAGAGAACTAAATTTAAGCAAAAACCAGACCATAATCTAAACAACTGCAAATTCTTCTTTAAAACTTCTTCAGCAAATTAAACATTATAAAATGTGTATCAGAAGTCTTTATTTATTCATTTAAAGAAATAGCAATGCTGACCACTGTAGCCAATTTGTCACAATTCAGAAAGTCAAATTAGGATATGCTGCTTTAAGCCTGCACATGTGGTTGCAATTCCTGGTGCATAGCTGGCTGGGCTACTGTCTACCAGCCTTCTGACACCTTCCTATAATTCTGACAGTCTAGAACTGCTTGGACTCCATCTGCACTCTCAACAAACAGATTTAAGTGTACTCCAAAACTTGTGTAGTTTTAAATTCTTGCTTAGCACTAGGTATCAGTAAACTGAATACAACCACTAACAAGATCCATTTATATATTCAGGATTACAGGCTTGTACTAACACCTGCCATACTACTTTGGCAACAAAGGCTGGTCCAAAGCTGATTTTGATACTCTTGACCACTGCAAGTTAAAAGTTGGGAAGCCTGACAACTCCTATTGTTCTGAGCATCTCCAAGATGTAAATACTCTGTTCTTCAGCATTAATTGCTTATTTTATACTTTAATCTTCAACACCATCAGCTCAAATCTTAACAGGCACAGCTGACATAGCTCAGCCAAGAGGTAAAGCATGTATGATTTCAGTTAAGGAAAGTAAAGCAATACAAGGTTTAGAGAGGTACAGCTGGTGCTTTCAAACTTAAGGGCAGGATGCTTTATCTATTATGGGGACTAATGAGATGATCAGTTGACTTTAAAAGGAGTAATTAATGTACACGAGCAACAGAATGACTCTGAAAAGCCACCCAGGGGAAACTGGACTCAGGAAGGCTCAGGTAAGTACCAAGCAAGAACCAATCCCCCTTCACAGTTCTTCTGAGGCAGATAACACAATACCATCTTCCATAAAACAGTAATGAAGACGAAGTGTATTTCATAAGCTGTGAATTAATTCTTCCACTATAAACAGTTTCCATATGAAAGCATTTAAGTTATGTTGAAACACAGCCCTGAAATAACAGTTTAATAACAGTTTCCCACCAGCCTAAGCAACCCTTTTTTCCCTTTTTCTAATGGAATGATATTAAGAAGAAAGATCCAAAAGGTCAACACAGTTTGTGAACCCACAACTTTGGGTTTTCACAGGGACAGTTTCCTTTTTTTTTTTTTTTTTTTTAGGAAAGAAACAAAAAACATGCATCCGGAAAACCCAGCAACTCAGCACTACTCCAACAGGTTTCAAATATCTCAAACTTTATTTTAATAAAGGATCAGCCTCACAGACCATGAGGTCCCTGTGGTTAACTTTGTGCCAGTAGCTCACTTCTTGGCTTGTCCACTGCCAGCAATGGACCTTGTTCCATGGCAACTTGTTTTTCTGGTGGCAGGTTAAGTTTCATGAGGGCAGCCTAAACCAAAATACTTGCAAACACTATCGTCATGCATCATTGCTCCATCATTTTCAGCAGAACAAACAGATTAGTATTCATCAATTTATAATAAACAACTATTTTACCAAGGCTTGACTGTACAAATACAGCAAGTTATCAAATCCTAGTCAGTGACAGGTAATACAAACACTTCATTACACACAAAAAAACTTGTAATTTAACAGACAAACCATTTTTTGCTACTTTATATTAGATAATGTAGCTTTGTAGAATTAGCAAAGAAATAAATTCAACAAACCTGATTCTGTACATTAGCTCAATTTAAATATACTTTACAAGCTTACAAGGCTCATGTCATAGTTCATTTCCAATCTAGGCTTTAAAAATCTACCAGAATGGTCTCCCCACTAGCATTGTACATCTACCACCTGCAAGGGGCATATAGCTTTTAGCTTGCATGTTGAGGGCAGGAGGGTGGGAGAATGGAAGAAATAAAAGACCCCACTCCTACAGTATTACCCATAGTGAGAAGGACCTCAAAGTACAAACCCAAATTCAAAGTTAAAAATAGTCTCTCAGACATGTATTACATGAAGACTAGCGAGAAGCCAGAGCTCCAAAGCGATCTTCCTCCCTTCCTTCGTTTGCCAATTATTAAAACAGCTCCATAATTTCTACAAGTTTTATTTTAAAATTCTGCTGCCTTAGATACTTCTACTAAACAATCCTGAAAGATGCCAAATGAATGAACCCATTTCTTTAGAAGAAAAAAAAAAAAATCACTACCTCCCTCCTTTTTCCTCTTTCCTCCCATGCTGCTGTGATTTATAACACTGGTATAAAAAACATAATATGGATGTCAGGAGGAATTATGTACCAACTAACACAGTGGATCACAGCGTTTCTTGGAAGAAAGCCACCTGCCAGTCTAGCCACTCTTGATCCAGTCATTTTGACTCACTGACAGGTGAGAGAGATTCTATTCCAGCAATGAGTATTACTTGGTTCTACACTTTTCCCAAAGCAATGGGGTGATGGGAGGCAGACTGGGAGAAGAAAGGGAAGGTGACAAAGGGATTTAGAAGTGCAGTACTCAGAAGATTGACTGCTTACTGTCAAGGCACTGAGAACCCTAACATTAAAAGCTTGGACTATTTTGCCACACACTTGAGTACAAGTAGAAGTTAACAGTGTAGGTTTCAAGTCATTTCACATGAGAAGAGCAAGCAGAAGATTTTTTTTTTTTCCCCTATGTACAAAAACCTTGTAATAGACTACAGCTACTACTCAGCAATTTAAAAAATTCAGTCATGTTAAGGAATCCACACAGGCCCTGGCAAGGCCCTCCATCCCCAATAGATTCCTGATTTTAGTGTTCTGAAAATACTGTAAATATCAGCACACCGTATTATGAGAAATCCTTTCAAGGAGCTTAAACAGGTTTTCTATGCTCCAGTGAAGTACTACTGTACACTACTTCAGCACTACTGCAATCCTTTTTCTCTCTTTTTCACCCTACCCTCACATCTTGTTTCATTCCCCACCTCACAGAGGTATCTTAATGCTCCCCATTGGAAATGGCAACAGTAACGCCTTCAGATTCTGTTGCTGCAGGGATTCTTGGCACTTTCTTAGCAGGGCTTGGGATGTGCTAAGAAGAAGGAAAAAAAAAACATTAAATACAGTTTTCTAGTTCATAGACATTCATATTTCATGGCTAATCCAACTCTCAAACAACATTCATGCTACATTGGATGGCTTTGTCTTAAGTCAAATCAGATTGGTCATGCTTCATGCAAACAAAGAGCCAGTTCGTTCTTGTTTCATTCTTGTTATGATGAAATGGACTTTTTAAAATCCCGTGTTCAATTGTTTGTTCCGGGCTTGTACATTACGTATGTTAACAAAGTATTTAATATTACTTGTTAAACCATTTCCTCTTTTAACACACATGCATGTACTAAGACACATAAACCGCTCCACCATTAATATCAAACTTTAAAAGAGTGCTGAGTGTTCACCTCATGAACAACACCAGGGTGGACAACTTCAACTCCTGCCTCCAAAGGTCCATCACCCATGAGTGGGCGCCGCGCATAAGTTCTCCTGTGTTTTTCATCCACACGCACAAGGTACCATGTTCCCTCGAAGAGATCTTCTACTGAACACTGTGGAATATAGTTGGCTGTAAAAAAGCCAGTAACACAGTGTTAGTTGGTTGCTGGCAAGAGTTTTATACAACACAGGCCTTTGGAGTTTGGACGTAGTAAGATGGAAAAAAAACAAGCCTGCATTTTCATTTCAGCCACATTGGGCCAGTAACACAAGGTATTCAGAAGCAGAAAGGGTTGAACATTTCCTTCATTCTACACCTTAATCATTTAAAGTCAAGTGAATTAAGTGATGAGCATCTTGCTGTAAGACTAGGAATGATTTATACTTAAGAAGTTCTTACCCAAATGATGTGTTTCCTGTCTAATCTTCATGTTTTCAGCAAAGACATCAGGTGCAATACATTTTCGTGAGTCAAGTCTTGCTTTGAGGTCAGAAAGGCTGGCAGTTATTTTGTCCAGCGCAGAACCTACAGTATAAATCCATCACATAAGGTAGCACCAGTGCCGAGAACTGCACACTAACACGTTAACATTTCAAGCCTGTTCAAAGTATTTTGCATTACAGAAGCTAAGCTTTTAGTCATTTAAAAATATGCCAAATCACTCAAAACATTAACAGAGTTTGAAGAATATTATTTATTTGCCCAAGGAGACACTTAAATATTCCCTGGAGCTGGAACACTGTAGCATTACTGTCATTAGGCACTACTCTACAGGTTTATTTATGCTGGTGGGTAGTGTAACAAGCAGTTAGAGGTGAGCTGTGCAAGGGAGTTAATTAAAATCTCTTCCTCTCACTCACCAGGAGTGGCATCCTGTGAAACTCTGATGGAATACAGCGTAGCAGCAAAACCAGAGCCATAGGAGAACACACTGATTCTCTGTCCTGCGAGCTGCTCTGGGGAGTACCTGCAAATCAAGAGTTGTGTGAAGTGAGAATTAAGCCAAGGTACCAATTTCAAATAACTAGAAAGTGCAGCTAGCTTAGAAAGAACAGCTAACAAGTTATACTGACTACAATACACAGTTAGCATGCTATGTGCACAAATGATGACTT